TTAGCTCAACCTGTGTGAGTAAAGTCAGTAAGTTTTAGTCCAATGCGATAACATAAACTAGCATTTTTGGATAAAAGAAAATTACTTACACAGATTACTTATGCCGATTTTGTGTGCAAAGATGAGAGCATTAATGGGAGATAGTGTGTGCAAATATCAGAGAGAATGTAAAGCATTTCAATAAAACAGCATGAAACATCTACATTACACAACTGTAGTTAAGCTTATCTGTGTGGGACCTCAATTTATTAATAGTGGCATACCATGGTTTGGCTTAGCTCATGTATATTAATCAGATAGCATGATTGAACTGGCTATGAAGATGACCTAGTAATGTCAACATGAGCTAATTAATATTTGTGAGTTCAGTCTTCACTATTTAGTGATGTTACAATTCACCATGTAGAACTTCATTTCCACTAAATTGGTATCTAACAAACCTCTTAACCACTCTTTTCTCTTTGTCTTGTTTAGAAACCAGAAAATCTGTCCCATGAAGATCTAGTGCGGAGGGCATCATCTCTGGTCACAGATAGTGCTAATACTTACCTCTCACAAACTACTTTAGCACTGCTTGATTCTCTCTCAGGTTATATTAAGGTAATCAAAACTATTGGAACAGTTGCTTTCATTTTCATGATTTAAAAATCGCAAAAACAACATCCAACATACTTGTCTTCTCTAGGCTATAAACAGTCTTGTGTCATTACACAAGCGCTATGTGGGTTCCATCAACAGATTCACTTCTGTGGAGGAGGATGCAATCTGGCAGGTCATTCTTAGGCATCGTCAGGAGGTAATGACTTGAAAACACAGAGTTATTGTTCACAAGCTTTCAAATTAGAAGTAATACCTTCTTCTTTATATCTTCTTTTTAATCAAATTGATTGCAAAGTTGTTGTTTTTTTTTGTTTGTTTGTTTGTTTTTTGATTAGGTAATTGACAGGAGAAAGGATTGCAAACAATTTGAATCCTGCTGGATGACGGCCATCAATCTCTCAGAGCTAGCAGCAGAGGCAGCTTTCAATGCAGGTAGTTTTCATTTTCTGGAACAGGCATTTAACACTTTTTAATTTTTTTACTATATTATATTTACTATTATATATATAATCCTGCTGCATCAATCTCTCAGAGCTAGCAGCAGAGGCAGCTTTCAATGCAGGTAGTTTTCATTTTCTTCATTTTCTGGTTAACACTTTTTAATTTTTTTACTATATTATATTTACTATTATATATATATATATATATATATATATATATATATT